AGGAGGAGAGATAGAAGCATCAATGATAAGAGAGAATGATTGATGGGCTGCCTCCTGCACGCCGCCCTACTGGGGATGGAGCCCACAACCCAGGCATGTGCCCTTGACCAGAACTGAACCCGGCACCCTTCAGTCCCCAGGCCGACCCTCTATCCACTGAGCCAAACCAGCTAGGGCTTTCTTTCCTATCTTGAAAAAGCATTTATTCTTTTTACAAGGTTTCCTATGTATAATACAAATATATTTAGAATTTTCCAATTCATTCTAAAGTCTTTTTTAAGCTATGCTATGTTCTGAATTTAAACTGGGAATGACTCTGTGATAATTTAGCTTTGCTCAAAAAAAAAAAGACACTCTCATTCTTCAAATGTGAAAGACCTGTACTTTTTCTTTCTTCTGTTAGTTCTAGTTTTGGGGGTCTCTGTGCTCAGAAAGAGGAGAAACGAGAGCCTCAGAGAAAAACAAGACTGTTCTCTTATTTCTAGATTATTTCTTACACACGCAGCTGGAAGTGACGTGACTTGTCACAGCTGGAGGCCTTCGCATCGTGGTCCAGCTGTGTCTAACACAGATGCAGAAGCGGCTCTCAGTTAGGGGCGCGAGCAGGCCCTGCTCACACAGCCTGAGTGCTTGACACCCTTTTCCCTGGAGAGGGGACCACTCTGCCTCCGAAGGACTAAATGTGGGACAGTCTCTCACCTCGGGTTGCTTTTGGCATCAGGGTGAACAACTGAGAATTCTCATTAGGGTGAGGAAGAGGGTATCTCCAAATCTAGGACAATTCTCACTGAGCGGTGGCGCTGTCCCATCCTCACACTGGGACACTCCACTCCAGGGGCCTGGGAAGTTGAGTGTGGGGCTGGAGGAAGTAGGTTACTCCTTAGCCCTCTGCAAAAGCACCACGCCCGGTGCTCTGCTCACTGACATCTGTTATCCACAGCTTGGGGCTCATGTGGACCAAAGCCTAGACATTCTTCCCCTCCCCTACCATAAACGCACAACGCACCTCACAGCTCAGACGCAAATCAGGAAACAGAGTCTTAATTTTCAAGGATACACTCAGATAGGCATAAGCTATAAAGCTACCAAATACAGAAATCTACTGTTTTCTGTAGAACTCTTAAAGACAAATTTCGATTCCTCACACTCATGCTCCATGAAGATTTTACATGTAATTGGTATCCAAAGAATAGCCTCAGATTTAGGCAGGCTGGTAGACAAAGGATCCGTTTCTATATAACTAACGCGATGTAACTGTCCCTCAAAACGGCAGGACCTGGAAGGAAACAGAAACTCCCAGCAGACAATGATCTGAAATAAGTGGTTTGCGAGGAGCAGAGGAATCTCTCTCTCCTGGCCGAAGCTGAGCTCTCTCTCTCTCTCTCTCTCTCTCTCTCTCTCTCTCTCTCTCTCTCTCTCTCACACTCTCTTTTAGTTTTGCTTTGGTTCTGTTCCCTTGGCTTCCACAGACTGTGGGAAACCTCCCAGACAGAGCGCCTCTCTCCTTCCCCCAGCCACGCAGTGGAAGCACGGGCATCCCTTCCAAGGAGGGAGGGGTCCTGGATCCCGCTGAGGTCTATCTCCGTAGGATGTGATGGACCCACCTGCCTTTCTACGTCTCAGATCAATTACACATCTGCATGGTGAACCTTGCCAGTGGCTTTCCTGACTCACCGTCACAGCAGCCAAGCTGCTGATGTGAGTGTGAGTCGGTGCCAAGGGCTGTGCTGAGCAAGCTCCCACAATTCCTGAGTTATCCCGGCAGCCCTATGAGGTAGGGAGTGTCACGGTCCCCGTTCTACACACGGGGAGACGAGTTCACCAAAGTCTAGCAACAGCTAAGGCGTGAACCCAGGACTGTCTGCCACCAAAGCCTATGTTCTACTGCTTACCGAGGACACGCATGCTGTGCCTGACTCCAAACCTTCGAAGGTCCTACAGTTTTGAGGAGCAATTACATCTACATGACATGGTTAGAGCGGGCTGATTACTCGAAGGTCATCCCAAACTGGAAAGGCTGTCTGGCGCTTAGGAGATGGTAGATAGGACTCCAGTGTTACATGACCACCCCGAGCCAGAAACCTCCCATGCCCTTGGCGTTGGAAATCCCCAACCAGACGGCCAATAGGGATTCTTGTTCCATGCCAGGTAAGCAGGTAAGAAATGCTTTTCAAAGATAATTTCCTTCGATCTAACCGCCCTAAGCCTTGGCTTCCCCTTGTCTTTCCCTAACACATCACGGCTGATACTGAGAAACTAAATGGACAAGAATCTTAAAATGCACCATTATTCATTGTTGATGAACTTAGAAGACAAAAATCCCAACCTGTTGTTACATTTACGCCTTCGATTTTTTTCACGGTGATGTTTTTCCAAGGATGTGGCAAGACTGGACACAGCCTGTCCCACCTGGGTGCCCCAGGACGCTAACCCGTGCCTCGTTGTTCTTTGTACCACATTCACTGCCACCCTTTGACTATGGTCGGTACGGGGCCCACTGACCCTCTGAAACAAGGCCCAGCAATTGTGAAAAGTCAAAGGTCAGGCAGAAGCACGGAGACACAGCGGTGGGAAGGTAAGTGGCTGGTGACGTGCTAAGCACCCGCATGAAAAATGGGAAGATACCGGCTTTATCTTGCAGTAGAATCGGAGCCTGTCACAAGTAAGTAGCTAGGTAGAGGGGGCCAAACACCCGACACCAAATACACTTCAAAGACAAGTTGGGGAGCCCTGAACCTTTCTTTCCATCTTTTTCACTACAAAGATGAAGCAATAAAAAGAGTGACAGTTGACAGGCTCTCAGATTACGGTGGTGCTGTTATAAGTCCCAAGGACTTAGAAAACAACATGTGTGCGTGACATGAGCTAATAGAGAGACCCTTCTTAGATTTATGAAAACAGAAATGTAACCCAATTTCTAGGTTCTCTAGAGAGTAAAGCTACTTAATCGTTCTCAAAGTTAGAATGAGATTTATCCCAGAGAAGTCGGGTGATTTATTTCCATAATAAAAAAAGTACTTTAAAAGATGTCTTTGTTTTTCAACAATACAGATACAACCAGCAAAACTATCTGTGACAGCTGTGAAAACATTCAATGGCCAACGAAGGCCTTTTTCTCCCTCTCGCCACAGCTGTTCAGTTCAGGGCAAGGTTTATTGTCCTCTTCCACTAAGCTTCCAAATCAAAAATTCGGGGCTCTCCGTTACAAAACACTGCCCGTGAATTTTCTTGAATAGGCTGCCATCATGTGGTGACCACTAAAAAGACACCTTGGTTTGAGTTCAATGACAAGATCAAATTCCTGAGCCGTCTTAAAACAAGAATTCAATGGATTTGATCCACTCGCTACTCAAATATGGTCAGTCTCAGACGAGACACCAGCATTCCCTGGGCGGGGACTACAACTTGCTTGTTTTCATTTTCATACAGCAACATGAGGAACCTGTACTTTTAGATTTTGTTCTCTGCTAATTTATTGTACTTAATGAGCTTTTAACTTGAATTTGCTTGATATCTGTGAAATGCACTGTAATTTTTTAAAATTAAAAAATGTATGAACTATTTAAGACATGAAACTGAAGTAATAATAATATTACACACCTGGACACCCCACCCATGGCCCAGTTTAAGAAAAAAGACGTGACCAATACAAGCGAAGGTTCCCAGGTCTCCTTTCCATCCACAGCCACATTTTTGTCCCTTATAAATGGTTTTCCTGATTGGGTTCATACTTCCCATCCATTTCTTCACACTTTTACTCTCTAAGTATGTGGTCCTAAAAATATATACCAGGTAACATTGCTTTTAGACCTTACATAAAGTGGTGTTCATGAAGTGAAATATATCTTTCTTGCTTATTTTTCAGTGAATGCTGTTTTTAAAAGTTCTTCCATGTTGGTATTTACAGCTCGAGTTTTCTTTCAAAATCATTTTGGTCCTTGTGCTTCCATATACATTTTAGAATCAGCTTGTCAAATTCCACAAAACAATATTATGTCAGGATTTTGATTCAACTTTATAAATTAATTTGGGGAGAATTAGTATTTTGAAGATAGTGAATCTTCTTATCCATGCTTTTATTTGGGTCTTCTTAATGAATCTCATCAAAATTATATGCTTTCTTTCAAAAGGTCAGAAATAAGTTTTGTTAAATATATTCCCAAGTACCTTATATTCTCATTACTATTAGAAATTGTATTTTTTATAATTTTCTAACTGGGTGTACTATTTAGAAATGCAATTGCGTTTTGCAAGTTCATTTTAAATCCAAGAACCCAGCTGAACTCTTATTAATTCTCATAGTTTTTAATAGTAGATAACCGTATCATCTAGGACTAAAGACAATTGAGTATCTTCCTTTCCAATCATTATAAATTTTCTTCCTTTCTTTATATTACAACTTGTCTAGGAATTCCTATATACTGTTAATTAGCAATATCGATAACAGGTACCCTTTGTCTTTCCTACTTTTAAAAGAAATAGTCACTAATATTTCACTATGAAATGAGGTACTTGCTCTAACTTTTTATAGATGTTTTAACGAATTAAGGAATTCCTTTACATTCCTAGCCTAAGAGATTCTCTAGAAAAATTTCATAAAGGATACTAGATTTTATCAAATGACTTTTCTTCACTCACTATGGTGAGATTAGTTTTTAATCTGATGATGTAGTGAATTACAGTAATAGATTTTCTGATGTTAAATGACCCTTTGTTCATTCCTAACATTGCTGCTGTTCTCTCTTTATGTCTTGATTATTTTGGCTAATGGTGAATCTATTTTTTCTAGACTTTTCCAAGAACCAACTTTTGGCTTTGTTGATAATCTCTCATATATATTTGTTTTCTGTTTCATTAATCTATGCTCTTTGCTGTTTTCATTCTTTGAGATTTCCTGTTCCTTCTCCAACTTCTTAAATACGTAGCCTATACATCCCCAGCCCCTCTGCTTTTCCAATACAAGCATTTAAAGTAATGTTTCTAACAGGTCTGATGCTTACCTTGCTTTGAAGCTGAGGTGTTTTCCACTGGGAGCTCATCGTCATGGACCCTTTTCTCTGGAACAGGCATTGTAGGGTGGCTTCCAGAGACCCATGGGCTCCTACTACCAAGATCTTCTTTCCATCTAAGCTGACACCTGCCCAGCAAATGGAAATCAGTCTTACAACCCAAACATCAGAGGCTTCCTACCATACAGCTCTAACATAAGGCACAATAGCCTTTTAAAACTCGCTCCTCTGAGCACCAGCCTACAATGACAAAGCCGTAATTTACTCTTTCTTTGCAAATTCGATGGTAGAGTGGCCATGAATCATCACCCTGATAATCCAAAGGATGAAAAACCACTGTCTATATGAATTAGCTCAGAGATTTGAGCTTAATGGTTAATGTCCTAAAGGTCAGCGGTCACCAACCTTTCAGACCTCACGGACCACCAGTGGTCCACGGACAACCAGTTGGCGATCGCTGCTCCAAAGGTTTCCTTAAACCAGCGGTCGCCAACCTTTTGTACCTCACGGACCACTGGTTGGCAACTGCTGCTAGAGGTGTATCTTGAAAGTTATTCTTCTAATTGAACTTTGTTATTTACTTTGGAATTTTTGTTTGATTGTTGATTGTTCAGGTGAGAGGGAGGGACATGTGCCTCTTTTTTTCACTCAAGTTGTATTAGAGAAAAGTTTAGTTGAATTTTTATGTACTCAGCAAGTCCTTAAATATATGAAAACACCAGCAATAATTTACTCATTAAATTTAATAACCAAGAAAAAGAAATTATTCATTTCTATGTCACTGACATAAAAATGCCAGATCAAGGGGAGAATGATGGAAATTAAATACTGATTACTCAGAGATATTGCTCACTGATAAGTCCCAACCTAGGTTTTATAACCTAAACTATACCTAACAGCTTTCTCATTTAAGTATTATATATAAGTCTTATATAGGAATTCATACTTGACAGACTTAAGAAGATAAAACTTGAGACATTTTTCATTATGGTTATTTTGATTGTTTTCATGAGAGAAGTTGAGAATTTGTTTAAAACTGGTTATTTTTACTGATTTCTCTTCTAAATTGCAACACAATTAATCGTATCAGAAAAATCTTCTGTAGTCACTCATATCTCTCAAAAGATGATATAAATAAGCTGACAGTGAATTATCACACTTCCATATTTCGATTAGGATCTTGACATTCTGGAAACAAATCCTTACTAAAAAATAAGGATTATAAATACCAATAAATAGAAAACAGCAGCATTTCTGCAGGAGCATCATACCTGATTTTTCAAGAAGTTCAATTACAGCTCGGGCCACAGGTGAAATAAAACATTCATGGGCATCCCCACGTACCAACTTCCCCAGGTTTACGTCTGTGACTCTGAAACCAAAAATAAGGCAACCAGCAGTCAAAACGCACTCATCTGTAACTTGCAGGGATGAATCCACAATAACACCCAAGTCAGTAATGAATAGGTAGATATATTAAACAGTTAAATGTAAATTAAAGAGTGGGAGGAATGAAAGCCATCAGCTTCTTAGAGTAGCCCCTCAGGCTATTGGTCCCTATGAGTCGGGATGACCTTGCGTGTTCCGATTCTGCCCTACAAAAGGACAAGTGTGTTTTCTAAAGTATGTAACTTCCTTACACAGAATTTAAGAAGCCCTCAAACTCTCAAAATACTCTAAGATATTTAAATGATACTAACGTTTAAATGATGTTAAGCAGGGGTCCTCAAACTTTTTAAACAGGGGGCCAGTTCACTGTCCCTCAGACCGTTGGAGGGCCGGACTATAGTTTAAAAAAAAACTATGAACAAATTCCTATGCACACTGCACATACCTTATTTTGAAGTAAAAAAACAAAACGGGAACAAATACAATATTTGTATTTGCATGTGGCCCGCGGGCCGTAGTTTGAGGACCCCTGATGTTAAGTATTAAAATGATTTCTTTTTCTCTCTTAATTACTGACATAGCTGAAACAGTGGAATAAAAAATTCATAGTGGAAAAACTCATTTAGCAATTAGTTGTTTTCTTTTCTATTTCCTCACCCATCCACATCTTTTTCTGGCTTCAGGGCATTGAGGACTTTGTTGCTAAACGAGTTCTCAGAGATCTGAAGGGCAAGGCCATGTACTCTGGTGTCTTCATTAACCTTCAAGATTTCATCTATAATCTAAAGAGAGAAAACAATTAAAATCTGTTTTTGCAAAAATAAGACCCACCAAAAGAAACTCTGTATAAGAAACGTATTCATAAAAATACACCTCTTGTAGTTTATTTTTTATTCCCTGTTGACGACTTGGTGTAAAGCACAATGAAGTCTATTTCCTCTTTCCAGCATGTTTATAAATGCTCAAAAAAAGCTGGCTGAATTTTTTAGTGACTTCTCAGTCTTTGTTATCACTCTGCTCTCAGCCAGAACAGAAGAGAACAGAACAGAACAAAACCAACGCTCAACAGTTAGTACAGTTTAGATAGGCAAAAGACAAGTTGCTGTCAACAATCATAGGTACGCCAAGCAGACGGCCAACTTTCAGGGAAGCCAGAAAGCATGAATCAAGCATTCCACCTGGCCCAGCCAAGCCTGTTTCAAAACACAGTGTGTTCAACAAACGCTTACTATTCATGACATCCAAGAAGTCATCACTCGGGTTCTCATGTTCTCTGGACCTGAACGGCACATAGAAAGCATTTCCAAAGGCTTATGATAGATAAACTGAGATATCTCCCTTTTTTGTAGGAAACACTAAAATAATTCACTATTTATGAAAAAGTACAGTTTGGGAAGCTAATGTAATAGCTAATGAATGGCTACGTATGACTGTAAGCAATAGTCTATCCTCTCTATTGTTTTTTATTTTATGCCAGAAATGATTCATTTCACTTAATACACTATTTATTCATAAGTAAGAGAAATACTAGCCCATGGATTTGGATCTTACTACGAAGTGTTCGTTTACCATTTTTGTTTCCCTATCTAGCAGAAATCACTGATGGTAAGAAAAGAAAAAGCTATTTGATATACAAAATTCAGAAAGAAAATTTTCTCCTTCATTCATCATTCTTTCATTTATTCAACAACTGTTAAGTGTTTTCAGCACCTACTTTGACCAGTCCTAAGTAAAGGAAATAGATTTGTAATCAAAATTCCTGTCCTCGTGGAGCTTATATTCTAGTGGGGAAGATGAGACCAATAATAATAACAACACTATAATATTTGGAAGTGGTAAATGATGTAAAGAAAAATAGAGCAGGTTAAGCAGGGTAAAGGGCTAATACAGTGATATCAGGTGGGGTTGGTCAGAGGGGGTAACATCTAAATACAGTCCAGAATGAAGTGAGGGCACTATGATTTCCTGTAACTAGGATGTGATAGAAGCAACTACAAAATCTTAACAAATTAAGATCTTTACTCTTTTCCAACATCATAACACCACCACACAAAATCATATTTATCAGAATTTCAAAGAAAAATAGGGCATAAACGACTCCTTGTAAAAAAAATAAGTCAAGGGAAAAAAATAAAAGTCAAGGGCTATCAATACCAGTGCAAAACAACCTAAAGAAATGCAGATTCTACTACAGACACTGGGTGTCCCTCTACAGACAACACACTTCTCTGCATTTTGTTAATACTCTCTTGATAGGTGTCAATATTTGTAATATTACAATGGCAAGTGTGGCAAAAACTATCTGCCCAATATCCAGTTTCCTTTCTTACTTAGAATAAACTCTTGATTTTTAGCTGTGATAATAAATGATGTAAGGCCACCGGTGTAAAGGCTACATTTCCCAGTCTCCCCTGCATCATGGCCAAGCATTTAGGTTCAGGCCAATGGAATGAAAGCAGAATTGTGACTTTCAGGAAAGGTCCCTGAAGGGAAGAGATGGAGGGGCCTGTCTTTGACCTGTGGCCTTCCTTTCACTTGCTGGTGATAAGATATTGTTGAGCTGAGCCCCATGATCCTGGAAAACAGGAATTAAGAAATCACTCTACCCTTTGTGCACTGCAAAGAATAAGTCTCACTGATACTTATCTTTCTAGGACAAGGCAGACAGAGACCCTACAAATTCCCATTTTTGACTCATAAAAAGTTAGCTGAACTATTTGGTCCCCACTGATCAATCAGAACAAAATGTTTGCTGGCCGAACTCTGGGCAAGCTTCTCTCCCTCCCTCCCCCAGGTCCCTAAACTTTGGCCTACCCTGGGCTAGCAGACAGCCCCTCCTAAAAACAGGCTGGAACTTGGGGTAAAACATTCTCTGATCTGTTATCTCATTAAACCGCCCTTTTACCCCACTTTCTCCCATGGGGTTCATTCTAGACTTCTCTACCCTTCCCTATACAAGAAACACCCTTTTAATTTCTCTAATGATTAGTGATGTTGACCAACTTTTCGTATGTCTATTGGCCACCCGAATGTCTTCCTTGGAAAAGTGTCTATTCAGGTCTCTCCCCACCTTTTCACTGGGTTGTTTTTCGGGTGTTAAGTTGTCTGAGCTCTTTATAAAATTTTGGATACTTGGTAGTTGCAGAATAGCCAGAGATGCGGATTGAAGGATGAAAATATATAGTCAATAATCTCAAAATAATGGGGTATGGGGCCAACTGGGTGTTTGGGGCAGATGGGGGAGCAGGAGGAAGGAGGACACACCACCACTCTGTAGAGTGCACGTCTTCTGTCTGTCTGTCTACGTGGCCATACATCCGAAACGTGTGCGGAATAGTATTAAATGTAAACTGTGGTTGAAAAAAATACAGAAAGAAAGAGAACCCTTTCTCAGAGGCATGCAGATCTTACAGTCAGAGAGCTCTGCCTATTGCCAACAGCCTTTCCCCCACATTACAATGGTGCTTTCAGATTAGGTCTCTCCGCCCTAAGTCCGGATTTCATTTTTGGATTTGGCGCAGCTGGATGTGGGACGTGACCTGGGACGTGACGTGGACATGACCTGGGACGTGACGTGCTCAACAAAGGTGGCTGAGCAGCGAGATGGAAGGAGTGAGTGTCTAACGACGTCGCACTGCCAGCACACCAGCCAGGGCCTACCTGCTTCTCAACTTCATTCACGTAGAAGAAAAATGAACTTCTGCATTTTCTCAGACTCAGCTGTTTGAGGTTTTCCAGCACCGGAAGTCACACCAAATCCTGACCGCCATGGCTGCCACAGCATGAAGGAAAGCTGCCCGAGGTACAGCTCCCTAACTGCGACTTAGGGGGGTGGCTGCTCCTCCTACGCTTGAGAGGACACTCGTGAAGGCTGTCACCCCCTGCTGGCAGGAACCACTAAATCACACGCAACAGTAGCCGAAGGATCCTAGGGGGGGTTTTCTTTGCTGCCACTGAAGGATGTATGGAATGTTAGCCAGAAAAGGACCCTGAAGATGACCTGTGCTGGTCCTTTATTATTAACTAGAGGCCTGGTGCACAGACTCGTGCACCGGTGGGGTCCCTTGGCCTGGCCTGCAGGGATCGAGCCAAAACCGACTCTCCGACATCCCCCGAGGGGTCCCGGATTGCGGGAGGGCGGTTCTTGGGTGACACACCCCGGAATTGGGCTCCCTTCTCCTCTGGTTCTGGGTGCGTAACCCAAGAACCGCAGCTGCCAAGTCACGGCAGCTTGGCAGCTTGTGTTGAGCCTCTGCCCCCTGGTGATCAGTGTGCGTCATAGCTACTGGCCAGTCGGCCAGCCCGTTGCTTAGGCTTTTATATATGTAGATAAGGCAACTGCAACCCAGAGAAGCCAAAGGAATGGCTCTAGGGCCAACAATTTGTCAGGACAGAGCAAAACCAGAATTAGTGCTCAGACAGTTTCGACTAGATGACCATGCTGCTATCCTGAAGAGAAACAACCAAAAAGTCACCGTGTCCTAGTCCATGTCTTCAATGGAAACGTGCAGTAACGGACAAACAGATCAAGGAGCATTTACGCTAGAGGGGAAAGTAAACTCTTCCCTCTAAAAGTCCAGCCACAAGAAAAGGCTCCAGATGTTCCAACCACAACTGAGAGATGCTGACAGGTGTATTAGGTCTAAAGTGGGAAGCAACACGAGGGTTCATGTTCGCTTCGGGAATTACCTCGTCCTCACCGCTCTCTGGAGGAAGACAGATGTGAGTGATGTTCAGGCCAGCCTGGAAAGAGAGCGCGAGGTTACTCTGACACTGTGAGAGAGTGCATCATCAAAAAAAATTATTTCGAAAAGCAACAATCCTCACCTCCTCCGCCAAATTCTGGTTCACTTCTTGCATCAAGTTATCATCACTTGCCTTAGGAGAGGGGAGGAAGAAGGAGAATGTAACATCTTGAAAAGGCATAAAACAAAACGGACTAATTTTGTGATTACAAGTGACCTAATTACAAAGATAATAAGGAAAATGCAGAGACTCCTTGCTTATAAAAGGGAACTAAAGGCCGGCATTCACATGTCAGCTTCCAATTGTGTCACTTTCTTCTAAATAATCGTCCTCCGGAGGCATTTATAGCCACACAGCCAGCATCTCTTTCTAGGACACCAGAGACAGGGCTTAGATGACGTGCCTGTAAGTGGAAAGCAGCCGTCCCGGGAGGCCCAGGCTCCCGACCCACTTTCCTTTCCACGCTTCTCACTGGTCTGTCTTTGTGGGGGATGTGGAGACAGACCCCCGGGAATACCGGTGACCTGAGCATACGCTACAGCCTTGACATTGACAGTGTTGATGGAACGAGACACTGTTATTTTGACATATTAAGTGCATGCCAAAAACGACAGGAGCCGTCCAACTGCTGTGTTAGTTTACAGGCTTGGCTCACCTCATTCTTTCCCTGCACCTGTCAGCCCGGGTGTGCCAAAAAGGATGGCAAACAGTGCCAACTGCAGTTGGACATGAAGGGGCCGTGTGCGGCACATGGAATACACATGGAATGAGGAAGGACCTGTGACATGTAGTGACTGTTGGCCCTTAGTAGTAAGATTCCCCAGTACCATGACTCGGCAAGCCATCTGTCTTCCACAGAAACAAAGGAGAACTCCCCCCCGCCCCCCCCCCCTACCACCTTGGAGTCACATGTGATGAGCATTTATGAGTGGACCACCATACCCTGTGTGAGGGCACCTAGGTGAGCGCCTACCTCCTGGCCTCCGGAAGCTACCCACACCGAAGGAGAAAGACCCACAGAAGACTCGCTCAAGCAGAGCAGTCCCTAACCTGGAGCACTGTGGAAGCAAAATGACCAAAGAAAGGGAAAATGAGAGCAGTTTCAGCCGAGCCCTCTCTTCCCTCCATTAAGCTCGAATGACACTTCTGTGACAACGCATACAGCTGGCCTTTTGTGTCCAGTTATTTTCAAAATTGAAAGGCACCCTAAAATAGGAGGACAAAGCCACGTTCTCAGCTTACCTGGATAATGGCAAGAACCGGCTTAAAGGCAGGGTTTTTTTCTTGCAATAAACGAAGAACTTCCTTTGAATTCTGAATGACTTCCCTACAGTGAGAAAAAAACACACATACCGTGTCTTTGTTAGTGACTAAACAGGACAGATACAGCACATTCCCCTTAGAGTGTTTTTTACTGTAAGTGAAAATAACTCGACCACATGAGGATGTGCTTCACGTGTGGAAGCATGGAGGGGAAGGGCAGGAGAACAATGAATTCATGAAATGCTAACCCAATGTAAAGCACGACAGGCTAATTTTGAAAATAAGCAGAGATAAACAAACTAGATGTTAACAGTAATTTTCTAGGGGTGAATTTTCCCCTTGTATTTTCCAAGATCACTGTAATGAAATGTTTGTGTTTCTTTGTGAAAAAAATCCCCTTCCTGCACCATAGTCCCTTCACCATCCAGAAAGAGAGACTGGGAACCAGAGGGAAAGCAAATGGTGGTGGAGGGAGGGTAGTGAAGACAGGGGATTGGGAAGGGGGCTTGCTGTTGGAGAAGTGGTGGTGGAGGTGGGGAGGGTGTCAGGACAAATTCCAGGTCCCCGAGTTTGGGAAGGGAGGGGAAGGAAATACTGCAGAAACACCAGAGATACATCAGAATCTGACACTCTCCTGAGGCCTCTTAGGGGGAGAGAACTCAGTCCCCTGGTCCTCCCCCCCACCCCCCATGCATTTGGACCTCCTGAAAGTCCCAGCAGGGGCCACCTGCAACTTAGCACTGGGGTGCCTGAGCCGGGCAGGCCTAGATAAGGTGGTGCAAGTCTCTTTCTGCAACCTTCTGGAATGAGCAATTTCAGAGACCACCTTAACCACCATCCCTAGGAAATGTTCCTCACTTGCATATGAGGTTATGCCCCACCCCCCCTCCGCCCCCAGCCAAAGAAGTGCTCAAACTTCGGTGTTTAACCATCTTTAAATTTTGTTTTTGTTTTTGTCTGGCATATTCTTGCACACATATAAAAGCTTTAAAAGAAAGTCAGATAGCATGAGCACTAAATCACCAAGGGCAAAGAGACGTGAGTCAGCTCCTCTGGGTTTTCAGAGAGGAAGTTGATGAACTTAACTGGAAGGTACTGCCCTCCAGGAGGTGGACTAGGAGAGAGGGGGCTCAGAAAAGTTTTAAGAGCTTCAAACCTTAACCAAGATGAGCCTTTCTGCATCAACTTGGCTAAAAGCAACAGAATAGGTGAGCATGCAACTCTATGCGACCTGCGAAGACTTGTTTTTAGACACTTGGGATAAAGCAATGTAATTCCCAGTGAAATAACTATATTATTGTGTTGAGTAAACCAGACTGTACATAAAAATTTACAAATCACCTTATAAATGAGCACCAAAATCTCCTGTCCAATCATTTGTGCCTGGGGGCCATGTGCTGCTCTGTGTCCCTCCCTCCATGACTGCCAATTTGAGCCCTTATTTCTGTCTAGTTCTGACCGGCACTGTTAAGTAGGGAGTCATCTGTAATGTGTGTTTGCTGGGCACAAAGCTGCCAGAATAATGACCACAATCCTCAGCCTCCCTTGCAGCCAGCCGTGGCCATGCCAAAGTCTGGGAAGCCGTCGCTGATAATGTTTTAAAACTACACATGTAATACTTCCAACAATAAAGAATTAAAAAATAATAATAATAATAAAAGTAAACTATCGATTTAGCCCGGCCAGTGTGGCTTAGTGGTTGACCTACGAATCAGGAGGTCACGGTTTGATTCCTGGTCAGGGCACATGCCCAGGTTTTGGGCTTGATCCCCAGAAGGTGGCTGATCAATGATTCTCTCTCATCATTGATGTTTCCATCTCTCTCTCCCAATTCCTCTCTGAAATCAATTTAAAAAATATTTTTAAAAACACTACCAATTTAAGTGCATCCCTGAATGCTGAGCCTATTTACTAATAGCATTCTACATTTCAACTTTTTCAAAGGCGAAAGAGGTACCTGTGAATAAATATAATAAAGATTTCCCACACAGTCTCTTCCAAAAACAGCCATCAGTATCCCAAGAAATAGTACAGGTTGGGAGCAAAGAGTATTTGATAAACCACTGCACTGGCAATGAGTGGATACATTCTATACTAGCATACATAATAGCAACAACAGTAACGATAAAGCCGCTAATGATGGCTTACATTACTGGGTCCTATGACTACTTCCATGCATTTTCTTCCATTTTTAATAACGGGTTTCTGAGTTTAGGCTCCACGTGGCCAACTAGCCAAAGAGCACTTTCCCCAGTCTTGCCCACACTTTGATAGGGTTATGTGACTAACCTCTGGCCAGGAGGTGAACATTGGCCAGGAAAGGAGGACTGTGCAGCTAGCAGAAAGGTATACCAGCAACCTGGCCACGTTTCCCACTTGCTGGATGGGCGCAGTGAGGAGGTATCATGGGGTCATCCTACCTTTCCTGGACTGCTTCCCTCTGGATGGTCAAGTCTACAGTTATATTGGGGTATTCTGTTAAAGCAGTCTAGCCTATTTCCTACTTAATGCACAGGTCTGATCTAGGAGCTTTAATCTTATTTACATCCAATTGAAAATACAGAATTAAAGATACCACTGTTTTATAAACCACTAAGAAAGAAAAAAATATTGCCAGTTAACCTGTTACAATCTTTTTTTCTTTTTAAATATATTGTTATTGATTTCAGAGAAGAAGGGAGAGGGAGAGAGAAACATCAAAGATGAGAATCACTGATCGCTGCCTCCTGCACTCCCCTTACTGGGTATTGAGCCTGAAACCCGGGCATGTGTTCTGACCGGAAATCTAACAGTGACCTTCGGGTTCATAGGTTGATGCTCAACCACGGAGCTTAACATTGTGTTTATGCTGAAAGTATTAAAAGCATTTTTTAGACTTAAATTTAGACAGATTTTCTTTTGTCATAAACTACTCCTATACTACACATAGAAGAAAAGATATCCAAAAAAAACTGATTGAGGTATTTCTAAAACTTCTTCACATTCAGGATCGGACTCCCCCCCCCCCCCCCCGCAAACACATATCACCCTCAGTGCTATCAAGGGTGCTGGTGAGACATTTCTTGAAAGATAACATCATTTTTGTCCCCAGGGTTTCCGTTAAGTTCCTGACACCAGTCTTCATGTTCTCATGCTGGCCCTTTCTTGATTCTATCAGATGTCAGTGGAAAGTTGTCAGACAAGAACCAGAAATCCCACTATTTCCTAAAATGGTCCTTCCATGACTTGTTGATGGAAACAGTGGGGATGATGTGACAGCTGCTGGACCAATGACAGATCACTATGCTTTTGAGGGAGTTTATTCTTTTAAATTTTCTGATACATAGGTTCCTGGACGTATATTCCAATAGGTGACTTCTAAGATAGGCTCACCTCCCCTTTTCCTCCAAGTCCTGGGGAAATCTCTTCGAGGAAAGTTTTGTTAGATGATGCATATAAGTCAAAAAGGCACAACAGTGTGCATAGCTCTAGCCAAGATCCCACAGGTACCGGCAATGACTGACACCTGGCCAACAATGAGTAAAAACCACAATCAATGAAAAGATAAATACCAGTTTTGGAGATTTTAAAAATGTGTTTCATAGAATCACTAGAGTATAGTAATATCCACAACAACCTTATAAAGCAGGTGAGCCCTAACTGCTTTGGCTCAGTGGATAGAGCGTCAGCCTGCGGACTGAAAGGTCCCAGGTTCGATTCCGGTCAAGGGCATGTACCTTGGTTGCAGGCACATCCCCAGTAGGAGGTGTGCAGGAGGCAGCTGATCCTCACTGATGTTTCTAACTCTCTATCCCTCTCCTTTCCTCTCTGTAAAAAAAATCAATAAAATATATTTTTAAAAATAAATAAAGCAAGTGATATTTGGGTTTCAATTTTGTACAGAAAGAACTGAGACCAAACAGCTTGCCCAAACTCTCACAGCTATTGAGTGGTGAAGTCACACTGCAAAGCAAGGCACCTGTGTCTTAACCATAATCCTGTGAAGCAGTAATTCATTGCACACTTTCTTTAAGTTTAGAAGGAGGGCTGGCAACCTACAATCCACCAGCTAAGAATGGCTTTTCCATTTTAGGTGGTTTTTAAAAAATATCGAAATAATAGTATTTTTGGCATGTGAATATTATGGGAAATTCAAATGTCAGTGTCCATAATGAAAATTTCAAATTTCACCAATAAAAATTGTGAAGATGTGTGTGTTTTTTTTCTCTCATAAAAAAGTACCTACATAATACCTTCTATTTTGCCTCCTGGCCTGCAGAACCTACCATATTTGCTATCTAGTTTGCCAAACCCTGGCTTATTGCTGTAAAAATAAAAATAAGAGCCAACATCTGTTGAGGCCTGAACTGTGTATTTGGTTTACATTGTCTTTTGTAACCCTTTTCATAACCCTCTGCGACAGACACTATCATTTCTTCCATTGTAGTGAGGGATTGGAGGCTGGCCAGTCCAGTGCAGCAGGATCCTACCCAGGCACTCTACTCACCTATCAGTCAATCAGGGCTTCCAATGAAAGAATGCATGAATAAAACCCACAAAGGGCCCCAACTACCGAGCCGTTCATTCACCAAGGAAGCGTAAGTGCCTACCTTCTACCAGGCACTCTCCAGGAGGAAGGATCTAGCAAGTGAACAAGAGAGACAGGCCCCTGACCCCACAGAGCTTTCATTCCAGGCAGAGGCAGACCAATAAATGAACAAGAAAGTTTCAAACAGTGGTCAGAGCTGCCCAGAGAATAAAACAGGGAGGTGGAGTGGTGGTTTTGCCTCCCATACTGTCTTCAGAGCCTCACCCATGAAGGTGAGCTGAGCTGTCCGGTGGTGACCATCTAATGACCTGAGGAGGCCTGAAGTAACTGCGATTCAGAAAGATGACCTGGTGAGTTAAACAAGGGCCCCTGAGAGTCGTCTTTCACGTTGTAAAGAGCCTTGGAGACGGGGGAAGGGGGAGGGGCGATTGACAATTATTTTTAGAATGAAGGATAGAAGGGAAAAGAAAGAGATGTGAATGGATGGAGGTGGAACAGCTTGCCCAGTGACATGGAGCTGGAATCGTAGTGAGATG